TAAAAAGGCGACAGTTCTTACTTAGGTAAACATTCGATTTATGACCTTGTTCTCCACAACGATAACACTTGTCAAGAAAAGTTTTTTCATAAGGATTATTTTGTTTTTGAACCGAAGCTTACCCTGTTGAGTACAAGTAATGCCACTACTAGAATTACCCAGTGTTCCCAGGGTTAGAATGCTTGGTTGTTGCATTCTTTTCCTTATCTTCGGTTGATTCAAGATTATCTTGACGCCCAAATCTTCTGAATGATGAAAAGTTATGAGACTTCTCGATTAATTTAATTTCAAAGCTAAACTAGAAGCCTCTTGCACCGCCCATGCAGTTTGCAAACCCATCTTCTCTTGTATAAAAATTTTTAAACCATTGATGTACCGGGTTACTTTTTGGTTATATGTCCCTCTTAGGTCATTGCGTTCATAGAAACACAGGAACTCGGCTGTGTAACACTATCACAGTTCTTTTGCCTTGAACACAATCAAGATACATCTTGTAGAGAATTTGGTCGTAGTTTTCTAGTAAAAACCGCTCCAGCATCAACAGTTTCATACGACGCCAAGTTCTAATTGGCCATGTCCTTTGTTCTGCCTCCGAAAAACAAGTTTATCCCACCATACAGCAATAATTTTCTTTACCCTGATTGCTACCATTTTAACTTGCTTATATTCAGGGACACCCATGACATCAAAGAATCTATCAACATCGATCTACCAATCTAGAAACTTCTCACACTCATAATTCCATAAAACAATGGAATATCAACTTTTACTCGATAATCATGATGGTTTTGTCGATTACCTGTTCAACAACCTCTTCCTCCATAAGTTCTTCTTCATCAGAACTCGAATTTTCGACAATAGCATCACGATTGTTTCTGCCTTGTTGAACCCTAATTGGTTCCCTTCTCATATCTCTTTGTTGATTTCCATTATTGTTGCCGTCATTGATGGCGTTAACAATCTGATTGTGCAACCCTCAAGATCAACTTTGGTAAGAGGTTGATCTTCCATGATCAAGCCTCGAAAAGAGATAAGAGAAAGTCTGCTCTTATACCAGTTACGCAATCAGAAAACCCTAAGAATAGCAATCACTAAACCTAGATGAAAACCAAGTTCACAAGCGACAAACTTGAAAGATAAAACTTTGAAATCAACCAGAAAAGGATTTTGGAATCCACTAAAAAGGAGAAAACACTCAAACTTTCAATTAAGAATAATAAGATATGCCTAATGATTACAAGCTTAAAGTGTTTAAATAGCAAAACAAAACCCTAAGAAACCAACCAAAACCCAAAAAAACAACAAAAACACACTTAAAAATCTAAAATAAGAAAAATTGAAAAAAAACGAAATAAGCTCTTTTAATCCTCCTACATCATGATGTTATCGTGGATTTTGATTAATTAGTTTGGAAGAGAGGCAAATCAATGCAGAGAACGCTCGATCTTGGTTATGGTAGGATAAGGTAAGAAGGACAAGGACGTTCCTTTATAGTAGTAGTAGCAATAATATGAGAACGAAACCA